CTTATCTCTTGTCTGGGTACTGCAGGAGGCATGCATGGCTTCTTGTCCTGCTTATAAGGTACCCAGTACCAGGAATAACTAGGTTGAAGACTGTATTAGGTTTACATGGCAAGGTTTTGGTAGCAGAGGGACTACAGGGGTGGCTTCTGTGAGAAGATGCCAGAAGCTTCTCCCATGTCCAAATGAGCCAGTTCCAGCTGGCTCCAAGACAGACCCACCGCTGGCCAAGGCTGAGCCAAACAGCAATGTTGGTAGCAACTCTGTGATAACATATGTAAGTAGGGGTAAAAACTGCTGCACAACAGCAGCCAGGAGAGAGGAGTGAGACTATGTGAGAGAAACAGCCCTGCAGACACCAAGGTCAGTGCAGAAGGAATGGGAGAAGGTGCTCCAGGCACCAAAGCAGATTCCTCTGCAGCCCATGGTGCAGCCCATGGTGAGGCAGGCTGTCTCCCCTGCAGCCCGTGGAGGTCCATGGTGGAGCAGATCTCCACCCACAGCCTGTGGAGGACCTCACACCGAAGCAGGTAGATGTGCCCCAAAGGAGACTGTGACCCCATAGAGGCCCTTTGCTGGAGCAGGCTCCCAGCAGGACCTGTGGCCCCATAGAAAGGAGCCCACACTGGAGCAAGTCTTCTGGCAGGACCTGTAACCCTGTGAGGGACCCACACTGGAGCAGCCTGTTCCTGAAGAAGGGCACCCCATGGAAAGGAAGGACCCATGCTGGAGCAGTTTGTGAATAACTGCATCCCATTGGAGAATTTTGTGGAGGACTGTCTCCCATGCATGGCACCTCATACTGAAGCAGGAGAAGAATGAAGAGGAAGCAGCATCAACAATGCATAATGCTCAAGGGGAAGAGGTAGAGAATTCAGGAGTGAAGTTGAGCCCAGGAAGAAGGGAGTATCTCAGCAAGCAGGTCACTCTTCCAAAAATGCCACACACTAACACCAATCCTTTACAAGGTAAATCCTTTCATAACTCCATTCCAGCCTCATGGGAATTAATACAGTCCCTGACAGGTTTTAGCACATCTGTTGTAACTGTCTGCTAAAACATAAGGACTTTAATAGAACTGCATTTATGATTTGCTTTATGATTGTTTTCTTTTCAAGGCACTCCTTCCCATCCCCCAGCAAGCTCTGACACCGTCACTGACATCTGCCAGCATGCCTGACAGATGTCAGAGCCAAGGCCAGCCTCTTCTACACAAGATCTAAAACTGCAAGATGAAAAATAGTGCCATATGGCATTACTGACCTACAATCTCAATGAGCAAAGCAAGAATGACTCCATCTCGGAGATCTTGTCTCAGGTCTTGGACTGGCTTTATTGTTGGCTTCTTCTTCAGCTGGGAATTCACCCAGGCCACATATGCCTGTAGCTGTTGCTGAAAATAGAAAACAAAATGTTTGCACGTCATTGCCCTTGCAGGGGGAAGTTGCATAGCTCTCACTTTTCCATCTTCACAGATCTCATTGTCTTTTGTCCTTGAAAACAAACACCAGTGGTCTCATCCCAAAGCCTGGTGAGCACTAACTGACATCACTGCACACTGTGGTGCAGCTCACTCCTCGCCAGGACAGGAAAAGCAAGCAGGCAGCGGGACATGACTCATGACCTAAGCACAGCTGAGAGGAGAGCTTTACGTTACATTTAATCTTGGTTGGTGCCAAACCAATGCTGTCATCCCCTCATTTTTGGCGCCAGAATTGGTTCACGGACAGTATTCAGTGTCCCATCACACTATTTTCTTCCACACATCAAGAAAGTAGAAAACCCCCAATGCAGAAGCAAGAAACCCTGTGTTATTTCCCATTAAACTATGCCATCTACCACAAGAAACCACCAGGACAGATTTCTTGGAAGAGACAATATCCTCCCTCCTTAACACACCCATTATGGCTCACTTGTAACAGTTCATGCAACAAGAAAGAAACATCCTGTTGTACAGCCCCCCTCCTCCATTTCCTTGGAGCTGCATCAGCATTTCCAATGGCCCAATTTCTATTCCTGTACACGTTGAAGCTGGCTTGCCAGAGCACTTAACACCTGCAAGACCTGAGAGCAATGAGCACTGCCTTTCCAGCAGATCATACTGGACGCTGCTTCATATAGCTGCACGTGTTGCCACAAAGGGGAGACCAGGCAAACTGAAACTCAAGCTTCTGGTCAGTGTAAGGACCCATCTGGCATAAGTGACTGAAAGGCAAAGAGCAGATTCACATGACCTTTCCCTTTCCACCCCCCTCTCAGGAGCACTTCCGTGGCTAGTAGGAGCACTGGTAACACTGAAATCCCTTTGGGCAGGGCTGGTGTGGTACATGGAGAGTAAACAAACTGATCCATTTATGCGATTACCTCCCTTTTCACTAAGCTTCCCAATATTCTGCCAATGCAGCAGGTTTTAAGTCTCCATTCCATATTATCTCAGCAATCTGAGTTAGAGTTATGCTTTTACAGCCCATCAAAGTCACAATCTGATCACAGCTTCATTCTTAATTATCCTGACATAGGAAATCCAACTTTAATCACACCATGGCTTGGTCCGCTGGTTCAGAAAGGTGACTGGACCTGTATTCAATCAGTTCTGCTCACTCAGCAGAGAGCTGAACAGAGGAGATGAGCTTGGGGGACTGCCTGATGACTTTTGAAAAAGGAAGCAGAAACGGCAGATCTGATGCATGTCTGCCAGAACAGACTTGGTCTGTCATGTGGATTGGATCTCCATGCTCTTCTTTGCATGTCAGTTTTGCCTGCCCAATTTCAGAGGTCTTTATTTTTGACTTAATGCAACTGGGCACTGTAGAGAATCAGCAAGCCTTGACTTTCTCTCTTGCACAAGTTGATGATCCCGTGCTGATTTTCAGAACCCCAGTGGTAACTCTTGCCAGCTGCGAAAAGCATCCCCACATCATGCAATTGTATTTTAACTGATCATGTGGGCACTGAGGTTCAGTGTCACAACAGTCTAATGCCACAGCCAGAGAGACCACAAGCTTTCTATTACACAGATTCAGTAAAGCTTTAATTTATTCAAACAAGTACCAGAGAAGGGAGATAGGTTTGTTTATCGTAATAGTAATACAGCATCATTCTAGAAATATCTAGATTCATAATATGTACCAAATAGGGTTACAACATGAAATCTGTATCTGAAGTCTAGGTAATTTAGGGAAATAATCTTACCACCATAGTGTTTACTGCCTTGTTGTCATTTTCTAAATCACTTTACAAAGCTCTAATCTGTTATATTGTACTAGTTCCACAGGGGCACAGCCCCTTCCAGCCTACAGAAAATTTGCAATTTTTATAGGAGTCTTTATGGGGGGTTGATTCAAACACTTCTGTTTTCACTCAAATGAAAAATAGACCCTTTCACTAAGCAGTTTGTTTTCTTTTCTCTGAACATTCTTCATGCATTCATAAGAAAGCATTTTTGTCAAACTTTTAGTTTCTATCTCTTAGAAGTATGAGAAGGCTGACATTCTTAGGAAAAAGTAACTTCTAAATCCCAGCACATGTACAATTTAAACAATGAGTATTAGAGGAGGATTTTGAGGCAATGGAATATGGATGTCACCATTACAAAGTAATTTCATACCAGTAGCTGCTATAATACTGCAGACTTATATTTCATTAGCAGACTTAGTTTGGTTGGGTGGTTTTGCTTTTTTTTTCCCCACTAAAGCATAAGATTTTCCTGTAGAAGTTCAGACAGTTGGACTGATCAGCATTTCCTGATTTTGTATCCAAAAACTAGAAGATCTAATGACTTTAGCAAGAGACTTGGATTGCTGCAAAGCTAAAAACCCAGGGAGTAAGCTGTCACTTCTGGCAGCTGAGGTGAGCAAGTGACTGAACGTACCAAGAGAGTAACAGATATAAAAGTTTAGTGACCTAAAAATGGCAAAGTGGTGTTAAATGCATGAAGGGACAAAGCCCCCAGGCTGCTCAGCAGAAATCCCAATAGCAATTTTTAAGCTAGTAAGTCAAAAATGCTTTACTTCAGCACTCTCTGTGGCTTCCCTATCAGCTGGCACGAACTGGGCAATAAACAAGGACATTGTGGGCCATACCTTAAAGCCCTACACCTCCAACACAAGCAGAAGGCCTTGTTCCACAGCCACAGATTCAGTTTAATGAATTGGACCCATAAAAAAAGTAAAACACTTGTTTCACTCCCTCAGAATTCCATTTGTTTCAAAAGCCAAGACAGCCATCTCAATTCACAACAGAACAGCCCTAAGTACTATCACAGCAATATTATCTGCTACTTGGATGGACATCATTCATGGCATCTGTTCTGCAAAGTACTCCAGGTATCATCTTCCAGCACAGAGAAAATAAAGATTTGCTAGAATGTACTTCTACCACGAGAACCACAGCTCCACATAACCTATTCCACCCCACAAAAATAATCCCCATCCTGTACTTGTCACTTGTCCACAGAAATACACAAAAAAATGCATGCTCCATCACCAGTTGTGGCTGCAGGCATCCCAGCTCAAGCGATACACATGCCCCATCCAGTCTCACATAGGTCTCAGCTCCTCTTAGTCAACAAGACTCCAAGGAGGAGAGAAAAAAGGTTGGGAACAACCTAGGAGATGGATCACACATCTCAAAACTACACCTCCTTTCCTCTTCCATGGCTGTCCCCGCTGTGCTTTCACGCTGCCTCCTGACACCAACATAGGACATTACATTTTGTGCCTTCTAAATAATTAACAAAAAGAGGCACTAACCTCAGAGGCAGAGCAAACAGGAGTACACAACCCAGAATGAGTAAAGGATGCAGAGTGAGCCTTTTTGCCTTAGGAGGCTGAAGCCAGTAGTCCCCCAAACCTACTTAGGTCCCCTGCTCTGACAGCTGCTCAAATTCTTAGCACTCCTCTTGTTTAACTTCCATCTGTCTAGTTGAGCAGAAAGATCCTGTGGGACCTATTACACTAGTTCCCGTGATGGTGTAACTATGCTAGTACAAATTTCCTACAAAACCTCCAAGCTTCACAGAATTGAACAAATCCCTAGAGCTTCCTGTTGTTGGTTTATAACCTGGTATGGGTGACAACTATATCCAAAAGCAATCAGAGAGGGAACAGTTATTGTTCTATCTAGCGCATCCTCTTCCTTCAAAATACTAAAATAATTAGCTAAATAAAGCTTCCCTCAACCACTAACCGCTCAGGAGTTTTCTGTTTCTCCCTGCATTTTTGTTTGAGCTTCTGTTCAGACAAATCTTAGACCTGATGGGGCTCACACTGCTCTACTCCTGCACCAATATTTCTTTCAAACCCAGGATTTTCAAAAGAAAAACATATCAGCCTAGTCTAAGATTTACTATGCAGAGCACATGTTATTAAGATTATGGTGGAGTTAAGCTTAATCCTATTTATGTTAACACAGCTTTGTGTTCCAAAAAAAGACCTGTACCTTGCAATGGGAAGAGTAGCTCCCTTACCTGAAGGAAGTTGGAACCCAGATTGCTGCAGCTCCTAGGCAGATCATTGTAGGGTGTTTATACCCAAGTCACTCTGAAAGCCTTAAAAGACTTCACACGGCAGGAGAAGATTTTTTAAAGCAAGGTACTGGGACCCACCTGCAGTTGTAAGAATTTCCCAACTTGCAGGCACTTCTGCTGACAAATTGCAGGTTAGTACTCGAGTAAATGCAACATATCTCTGAGCAGGATTTTACTTTGGATCATTTATTCAGCACATACCTTGAAAAAGTGCTTCAGACCTTCCTAGCTATAGGAAAACAGCTGTAGAGGTCAGGAACATATATATTTGTGCTTTCAATTGACAGCCAATGATACACAGGAGGAAAATGCCCTTCCAGGGTCAGCACATTTTTCTCAGCAGCTGTAATCCCTAACTGATAATTACAATTAAGTGTCATTATCTAGTATTTTCCACAGGTGGAAGAAAAGCAGCAGCTCTACTGCAAATTTCTTGCCAGTTGTATGTGTCCTTGCTATTCTCATTTAAGCAGTGCAATTCACCACCTGCTGCTTAGGGTTCATGTTTCTCCCCTCTCAACCATCAATCAGTCCAGTCTACCTGACAGTAAATAGAGGCAGATCACAATGCCTTGATATGCTACTCTGTCCTTCGTATCACTGCCATCTACGTTACACTGTGTAAGGTTAATTTTCACCTCTTCTGAGATTAGGGTATTGCACATATGAAGTCGGCCAAATCTTCATTCTTGGACAAAATCATTCTTTATCAGGCAGATGCCTTGAGAGGGCCTGACCTCCTCGCTATCATGTCACAGTAGACTCTGATGACACTCTCTGCTTCTAGGAAGAGATGACATTTCTGTGTTCATTTGATGAATTTGAATCTATCCTTATGGTTGGATTTAGGGAATCAGCCTGGAAGA